CGCAGCCATTCTGATTATTGCGGCTACTGCGCATACTTCAAGTTGTTTCATCTATCTTCTTCCATCAAAAAGTAGTTTGAATTGTTCTGAATATACTTATACTGCGTTCCGTTGCACGCATAATTGGTATGAGGTATCATTTTATTCTTGTTGTTCACAGTGTCAATCAAGGATAAAGTAACACCTCATGCGCATTTATGTGTGCAACGGAACGCAGCTTTATTTGAACGCACTCCCTACACCCAGTGGGAGTCCCCTCATAATTCGTAAAATATAACTGCTAGTAATGCAAGTAACAGCGACAGTATAAAGCACACTGGATAAGATTACGGATATTGTGTAGCTTATCAGCATTTTGTAACTATAGAATTCTTTGAAGCAATACGTGGCTTTCATTTTATCACGATAACTCATATGAACGTAAGTATTCTGTATAGTAACATAAAATTTTCTCGTTATATACCTGAGCAAATCATGTAAAAAAAAGTATTAGTTTCATCATTTAGGGACATTCTTCATATTACGATATAAAATTTATGGCTATTTGCATTAAATGCTCGTAATTCTCTTGTGTGATTGTTGATTATGTATTTGTGCAGAATTAGAAAACATTTTAATATTATTTTTTCTGTATTTATGAAATTGTTTTCAGGTTTAACGTGATACTTGTATTTAGCGATTTTTACAAATATATACTTTCATCATGCAGAAGAAAAATGAGCTCGAGAATCTTATGTAAGAAAAATTTATATTTATTTACGATATTAAAAATATAACATTTTAATCTGATTAAAATATGTAACTTTTATATATAATGTGGTATAATATATAACCAGGGATAACACGTTACTTGTAATGCCGTTACTTTTTTGTAATAATGATTTAGTAATTTATAATTTTTCGTAATAGTAACAATAATGCCAAAGTTGGAACATTAATTTTTCGAAAGTAACTTGTTACTTTTTTCAATGAAAAAACATGTAATGATTTAAAAATGAAAATACTCATAAATAAAAAATAAAACTGTTCCAACCCTGACATTGTTATTATCATGAAAAATTGTAACGTTATTACCAAATTATAAATGTAATGATAACGGTAATGATGTTACAAATAACATGCTACTGCAATTTTAGTAAATAACATAATATATAACATAATGTGAGCAGTTTATAATATCTTTTATATTACATATTAATGTTTTGCATATCTTTATACAAAAGAAATTTTTACTTATAATTTTAATTTATTAAGTTATTTAATGTCATTAAATTTTTTAGGATATGTACAGTACCTGCAGTATCAGAAACATTAGCATTACCAGAGATTGATTTTCCAAGTGATTTAAAGCACGCATTAAATTATATGTATCTAGAACAGAGTTCTAGTTACTGCTCAAATCTATATAATAATTATATAAGGTGCATCGAAAGTTTGTCGAATGTACAAAGAATAACCGAGTCTAATTATTTGATCATATTAAAAATATGCTTGTATCTAATACAATTTGAACTGGATCTTAAAATGAAAAAGCATACATTGTCAGATTATGCAATTGAGAAATGTAATTCAGAAAACCACTTTATTATCAATGTGTCATCTTTAAATATTGAGCCTTCTAAGCTAATTGGAGTAGGTGATATTGCAATTTTTCATGAAAGTACAAACACAGCTCGTGCAAACAGACCATTTGTGGCTAAAATCATAAAAATATTAAAAAATAATGTCACAGTGAAGCCCTTTCATCCTGCGTAAGTAATATTTTTTTTATTATGGATTAATATTCTTTCTACTTTGATATACTTTATCTGTATTTATTGAGATAAAGTATTATTGGTTCTTTTTCATTCTATATTTTTCTTTTATGTTTTTATTTTCCAAGGAACGCAGTATCGCAATGTATTACCAAGTTATCTTGAATTTGTTTGGAATACTTATTTCTCTCACGGAATGATATTTTTTTTATTCAAAATTCTTTATATGAAGCAAAATTGAAGAAACTTAGTCTTTTGCAACTGCTTAACGTCTGCATGTTTTAACATTTGGAAATATATTTAGTGTTTATAACAATGTAATATATTATAGTATAATTATGATAGAATTAATTTTACATATTATATATTAATTTTATATATTATTCAGAAATGCAATAACATTGAGAGACAAGGAAAAAAGATTTAATATTAATTTCCAAAGCAAACATTGGCCATTAAGATGCTGTCATTATGCATTAACAATAATAAGTGAATGCAATTGGCGTGAGATTATATATCCACAATTGAAGACAAATTGCACAGATGTGGAATTGTAAGTTTTAAAATCGAATGTTTTATTACTTATATTTTGAAACTATATTGTTATTATGACTATAAACGTATATGTTGTATAGTGACATTAAATGGATAAATACTAATATAAAGGAGAATGAACGACAAAAACAAGCAGTGATGAAGATATTGAATAACACAGCACGCCCTGCACCTTATATAATTTTTGGTCCTCCAGGTACCGGAAAGACGGCGACATTGGTTGAGGCTATATGTCAGGTAATTTCTTTGTGTTAGATCTAAAGAGTCTAATAAAATGATTTAAAAATTTTTTTTTTATTTTTTCCATTTTAATTTTTTGGTTAATAGATTGTGAGACAATATCCAACGAAAAATATATTGGTATGCACAGTATCTAATGCAGCAGCTGATGAAATCACCAAAAGATTGATTAAACATATTCCAATAAACTTAATATATCGAATGTATGCCCCATCAAGAGAATGGTAAAAATTTTATTTTTGTTTCTTGATTTCTTTTTTTTCTTTTCTTTTATTATGTTGAGATTCTTAACATAAATAATATCACACAAAAAATTTATATCTTTAAATATCATTTTTATTTCTAATCAATTTTGCTTATTTATGGCATAAATTTTATAAAATATGATAAAAGTTACATAAATATATAAACTGAATTTGTTCATTGAAAAACAGGTCGTCTGTGGATAAAGAAATCCGACCATGTGCGAATTTTGCTGAAGACACTACAATTTTTTTGTCAAAAGATATACTGCTGCTGAAAAAAATTATTATTTCAACATTATCATCATCTATAAGGTATTCGTTTAATATATTATTCAATATTCTTTTCATTTTTTGTGTATGTGTATATTATTTTAGACATTAGTCTAAATTTTTATTTTCAATAATCATAGCAATTTTTATATGATTAAACAAAATTAATCATTTTTATATATGAATGTTGTTTAGATGTAAAGATATTTCACAATCAAATTGATATTATTAAATTAAATTTTTAGAAGATATACAATATCTACTGTTTATTATAGATTGATTGATAAAAATTTCTGGAAGAATCATTTTTCTTACATAATTATTGACGAGGCAAGTCAAGCAACTGAACCAGATATGTTAATTCCTCTCGCGGTAACAAATCAAGCTAAAGATGAAGAGATTGGATTTCAAGCACAAATTGTTATCGCAGGTGATCCTTATCAATTAGGACCTGTAGTTTGTTGCAAGAGAATTGAGCATCTGCTCGGTAAGTTTTTCCTAAATGGTATTACATGTCGCGTAATGGTAATCTATATTGTATTTTTTTAACTATTTATTATCCTAACAGGAACATCTATGCTAGAAAGATTAATGAATGATTGTGATCCGTATAAAATGCAGAATGGAAAATATAATCCGAACTATATAACAAAATTAATAAAAAATTACCGTAGTCACAAAAATCTTTTATTTGTGTCAAATAAATTATTTTATAACGATTTGAAGTTCTGTGGAGGAGCTGATACGCAAATGGCATTGGACTGGTCGCAGTTGCCCAATAAAAAATTTCCCATGATATTTCAAGAAATATTAGGCACAGAACAAAGATGTGAATCTCTAAGGTTGATATGTTTAAGTATATAAATTTTATTGTCTCAAAGCAGGATTTAAGACTTCTGAGTAATCATTGCGACCGTATTGAATTAATTCTTAATCTTTATTTACAAATGGCGCGCAAGAAACTTCAACATTTCATTTCTCATTTATGACGTCACAATCCAATATGACCATAGAGACTACTCAGGAACCTTCATTCTTATAATTAAGACAACTGTCCCTGTTAGTGTGCCTTTAAGTCAAAATTTGCTCATTATTGAATCAATTATTAAATATTGTAACTTGAATTTTGTTTATTTGAATCAATGTCGGTTCTTCAGTTATTTCTTTTTTTAAATATTTTTTAATCTAAAAAAGATAATGTTTCATAATATTTTTGATAAAAAAAAGAATATTTTTGCCCCTGTTAGTGTGTCTTCCAAGGAGCGATGGCCTTATTAATATACCCAATTTACCTGTATTTGACTCATTTTAACATAATTATTAAAACAGATAATAAATGTAAATGCGTAAGATAACTATTTAAGTTAATATTGCATAAATCATTATTTTAATTATACTTACAATTTCAATGTATATTCGTGACACAACGCTCTCAGCTCCAATACAGGGCACACTAATAAGAATCCACTTAAAATTTTGTGATACTACTAGATTCACATAAATTCCTCTAAATATGTATCTTTCGAAAAATGTTTGCTGTATTTTAATAATTAAAAAATTGAATATTATCTTTGGTATTGTATACGTCAATAATATAACTTAATAAAAAAAATATGTTGTTATTTATATTTGTGCTAATTTTCTTTATGGCTTACTTAAGTACAAAGGCACACTAATAGAGACAGATATAGTAATCTGGACAGTTACCCTAGTTCAACTGAAAAATTTTAAATAGGGTATGTCGAAAAAATAAAAAATGTGAATTTGAAATAGGGAGGTTGCGGAAAAATTGTGGAACCTTAATACTAACGTGTGTAAAAGATCAGTTTGATTGGATAATTTTTACTATCCTCGACCAAGCCTCACAGTTTTGAAGAAAAGAGATTTTTTAGTACACAATTTCACTTAAAATTTCGAAACTTTGAGGATTGATCAGCGATAGTAAAAATGATTCGATCGAACTGATCTTTTCTCTTCCCGAAGTGAATTTCCGACTTGCAAACTTTTTTACATACTTATTAATACCGAAGTTCCACAACTTTTCCGCAACCTTCCTATTTCAAATTCACACTTGATTTTTTATATTTATCTACTTATATACTTATCTACTTTATACTTATATACTACTTTTATATATACTTGATATTGTATTAACATAAACGTAACATATTTGCAGTGTCTATAACATAGATGAAATACTAGCAGTATTGGTATACGTAGATATACTGATAAATACTAAATTTAAGAAATGCAAGATAGCACCAAAGGACATTGGGATTATAACGCCTTTTACACAACAACAGCTGTACATTAAACATCACTTAGCAGCTATGGGTTTGAAAGATATAACTGTGGGAACAGTTGAAACATTTCAAGGACAAGAACGAAATGTGATAATATTATCAACAGCACGATCTAAAATCTTCAAACACGATAGCAAAGAGCACATTGGTTTCTTGTCTAATCCAAAGGTATGTTATTGATTTCATGTACTATCAAGTATGAGCACTAATAGTATGTTATAGTAATAATAGTTATGTGGGAGATGAGTGGCACCATTATGTCTGAACTTAGTTAGTTACCTAGATTTAAAGAGTTTCTGTAAATTAGTACGGATTACGAATTTTTTCTGTATATACGGGATACGAGATATAAACTCACGACTTGTCGGTTACAAGTCCATTCCTCTCACACGGAGCCACACGACATTCCAACAGTTGTTATAATTTATTTAATTTTTACGGTATTTGATGTGCATGTGCTAATATATTTACATAAACCAATTTTACATATAAAAGAGAAAGAAAGTTTAATATACTAGTTACTTGTATATGATATGAGTTCCTATTTTAATGTGGTTACGATTCATTTCATTTTCCTATGCTGATAATTTAATATTCACATCAACCTTTCAAGATTATACATAAATTGAGAGTTAGGATCAGACTTGGGATCAGCTAACAATGAGTCAATTGCCATACATTTTTATAAAATTATATTATGTTCTATATATAATATATCGTATGTACATTGTAAAAAGTTATATATATTCTTTGCAGAGATTTAATGTTGCTTTAACACGTGCAAAAGCGCTTACTATAATAATAGGAAATCCAAAAATACTACGCACAAACGAACATTGGAAACTATTGTGGGACTATTGTAAAGAGCACAACGGATATGTTCCATTTAAACAGTTGCCGTTAAAGAAGAACAGTAAAGTAGCAAAATTAATGGACAATCTTCAAGCTTATTCATGTAATGATAGCAGTACTTCAAGTGCAACAAACTTATCCGTTACCGAGAACGAAGGAAAAAGAAAAACTGTAACATTATTCGACGTACTTGTACATAAAATGGAAAGCTTGATTTTAATGACCGATCAAAAATAACGACTGATTAATATAGATTTTTAATGGAGATTTATTGTACATTTCGAATGCAAAATGTATATTGTACATTTATTTAGTGTAATGTACTATTTTATTAATACAAAGTGGATCAAAGAAATGGGAAAATTTAAAGGGCTAAAAGAAAAACTTAGAAACTTCATTATATTAATTTTAATTAGATCAAAATATGAGGCATAATATGCCACTTATGAAATATTAACAAAGGAAGGAGCTCAAGTGTTCTCTGATTTTTGTGATCTTTTAATATGTTATATTGTAGACCTTTATTTTCATCTACAAAACAATATATTAAAAGCTCATCAAAATCGTAACTCCCCTTGACGTGCAAGAGACGTACGGTCTTTTGTAAGTGCAAGACAGTTAGGAGTCACTGTTTTTAAGTTACCAGAAAGATGGAAGTTATTTTAAGTATGAAACAGTTAAATATCATTGTTTTTAAATTACTTGACAATATTTAGTATCAAGTTCCATCATTTCAATAATTGAAAATATTGATAAACATCAGTATTATGAAGTATTAATTTGCTATAAGTGCTTGGAGGCATTATCAATGCTTCCAAGCACTTATAGCATTAAATGCATCGTAATCATACATTTAAGTGAAATATTTTCTTTAAAATAAATATTTTCGGGGGCATTATAATAAGTACGCTCATATCACAAAATATTTTTACGAGTGTAGAACTATAGGAATGTAATTAATGTACAATAATTGTTATTTAATGATAATAGTGAGTTTTATATATGATTTTTTTATATAGCTTTGCATCGTCATTATATAATCTGAATATTGTATAAAAAATTCTTGATCTTTTTAATCATGAACATATGGTTTATGGTTTTAATTATAAATTACTAAATTGTTTTAGTATATATTTTAGAAATAAACAAGGTTTAAAAGAAAGTTTGTACTGTGATATTATAAGCATTTAAAAAAATAAATGCATGCATCAATCGATCGAAATAAAAACAAATTTTTTTGTAAAAAACTATTTATTTTTTCACATGGTAATGATTCAAAGACATGTATCACTTGTCACTGTTCATCGGCAGGGGATTGTACATTTCGCTCTAAAAAAACCTATTTTACTCGAGTAGCAGTTTAGCCTCATTTCCGTTAATTTTCTTATCAATACCGTGCTGAACTGCGAACTCGTATTTTACGCTAGCGAATAAGATGTCCGTCAGAAGGAAGATTTGTGCTATAGCGAATGCCAATGTTACTCCAAAATAAAAATTGGCGTTCGCCGATCTGGAATAGATCCACTGATGCCACACAGTTGGGGCAAAGACCGTACAAAACAGTAAAAAACAACCTACAATGAATCCTTGTTGCATATCTAGAAAAAAAAGTATGATGTATTAGAATAATTCGTCCCGTTCTTAATAATACAATGAAAATATCGCGAATTAAACTCACGTTGAAACAAGTGTTTCCATAGCGGCAGTAAAGATATATAGAAGCCAACGTCTCCGATGCACGGATAAGATTTGAATATGGCAGCTATCGCTAGGTAGGAAAATGCCAATAACATTGGATCGCGTCGCAACCGTAGCGCTAGAGGGACTATGTACAATAAACTGACGTTTATCTGAAAGGACGCGATAAAAAGCCATCTGAAATGCTCGAACATTTCTGTGAAGAAGTACCAATACAGTCCGATATTCGGACGTAAGTCTGGAACAGTTAGAATGAAACCAATGGTGCTCCACAAGAACGACCAGCTTCCCATGATGCAGTAAGAAACGGCGAATAGGATCGCCAGGATGCTCGTAAATACGATTAGCATCGTAATGATACCGATTTTTCTGTTCTTCGCCGTAGTGGCGACGTAAATAGTTGCCGGTACCATAAGCGACATGGGGTAGAGTCCTTGCAACGTCAATAACGCTATCGATGCGCAACTCCAAAGCACAGAGCGTCTCGTCATTGACACCAGCGCGATCGAGTAGAGTAGATTGGTAAAAACCGTAGTTGTTAGGCCAATGCAATTTAGTATTATATAAGGATTAAATAGATACGCTGCAGAAACGTACAGAGCAGACGTATTGGGAACATCTTTACTAAGCCTTTTATTCTCATCCTTTTCCTCTTTCCTTTTCGTTGCCTGTAATTTAAGTTGAAATAAATATCACGTACTTTTATCAAGAAGATTTTAAACTAGACAAATTTAAATTCCTATATTGTACCGACCAACTCAATTGCGTAATGTTTTGCTGCAATAGCGAGGCACAGGGCAGTCGTTAAATCAACGATAACGAACAGTAGAAATAATGCCCATTGAGGTAAGTACTCCTGCATCAGAGTGAATACGTACAAGCCGATTGGAGTCTCGTGAAATAGATCTCCCTCGTACGGGTCTATGCCAAACTTATGTAGATAAACTCCTTCAGTTACTAGAAAACCAAAAACACATCAAGTCTCATAATTATGAAACCATTCTGTTCTTAATTAATCAAAATGATATTTAATTCTTCAAAGTTAATGTCAAAATCTGACACAGTTACTGACACTGTGAGACCTATTTAATTAATGTTAACTAAAAAGGTATCGATTAATTTCAAAAGAATAAAAAACAAGTGATATAATTCATATAAAAAAGAATGTATTGAAAAGTTATTTTAATAACAATAATTATTTCAATAATAGATACAAGAATTAAGAACTAGCAGTAATAAATTCAAATATAATGTATATTTTATTATCTTACTATTTTTATGTATTTTTATGTATATTTAAATATTTTTATTATCTATTAACATTACTTCACAGAGAAAGTTGAATTATTTTTACTCATCAGAATATTTGTTATCCAAACGATCACTGTATACCTAGTGGGTTCAATAGATCCACGTCAGCTCCAAAGGGTTAAATAGTAGAAAGTAGATATCGACAGTTCTGGGGTGTTAATATTATAATTTTTAATTAAAATAAAAGCAGTCGAGCACAATTGCGAACAAAACTATGTGCTCCTGTACGACTGAAGAGTGTACCGAAGCAGGATCTGGAGAACTAACCTCTCTTCCAAGAGTTTAAGGCGGTCGACACCTCGACACGATTGCCGATGATCCTCTGGTACTCGGAGTTCATTATCAGCAGCCTGATGGTACCGGCCAGCGCGAAATTCGACAACCACTTTCTCGACATGATCCCTTACCTTTCTGTTCCCACTACCACAATCGATTCATTTGTCCCGCTCGCGGACGTAACCTCTCGTGACACCGGCGTTCAGGATACTCACCGACGAGAGTGACGGAGCACCCCGTTATCGATAAACTGACGCTCCTGGGGATCTTTCCCGACTCGGTCGTCACTTAATCCGCACGATACGCTTACGCATCTACTTCAATTATCGCGATCATGCTGTAAATGCAAAGAGATCGAGACGCCGCGCCTTCTACAGCGTTCACTGGTGTTCACATATCGGTGATACGACACTCCCGAATATCCTGATATGTCGCACTTGTACATATACATATTAGCCGCGTTCAGCAGAATGTTTATTTTACAATAGTTGGAAGTTTTCTTTTCGCTGAGATTGAAATAGAAAGTATTCCTCTAGATCTAAAAGTATAATTTAATCAGAGCACGAAGAAAATTTCCAACAGTTACAAAATAAACATATTCTGTAGAATACGGCCAAATAAATGATTACGCTAAAAGAATTGCCGCAATTTCGATGGAAATTTAATTTACTCACTTTCGATACGAAGTACCTTAATTCTTATTGTTAATTGTTACTCTATTGTCGTTAATAAATGTCACTTACAAGTGTATTCCCATCGAAATTGATAGAATCATATGAATTTTGATCTTGTCAATTAAATAAATTTAATAATAAATTATGAAACTACGTATATATGAGATGTAATAACTACGCAATATCAGCTCAATGACTGAATTGTATTATTGTCGTTTTTAAGCCATTATCCTAAAATTAATAAATTTTTATAAATAAACTTGCTAAATATTACTCCTAGAAACTTATTAACGAAACTACAATAAAACGTTACTATAATATTTAAAAACTTTAAAATGTTTTATGTAAAAAGCATTCAAATGATTGTACATAAATTTTTCACATTTATTGATGTATAATTGATGGTTTTTCGCGAATCAATTTTATTAGTATAGTATTCTATAATTTATAAATTAAAAAACAATTTTTTAAAGGAAATTATAGATTGGAGTGTCTCTCTCTTTTTCTATATTTATATGTCAATATTTTTCAATGACACTGACACAAAAGACCTGTTGTTTTTGATTGAACTTTTGCACCAATTCATCTTTGTTCCTCTTCTTCCCTCCTGAAAAGAAAAGAAAGAAAGCTGAACTAGTGCAAAAGTTCAACCAAAAAGAACAGGCCTAAAAGTTTCATGTAAGATATATAAACATACATACACTCTAACACATTTAAATAAAACATTACTAAATATTGATTCTTTTGTAATAACTATTAACAATAGATATAGCATCATAAAATATAATTGTTGCTTGTCAGTTTAATCATTAGAACATTTAACTTATCAGGCAAATTATCAATTTTATTACATGCAATTTTATTGATACTAAATAAATAGAAAATAAGTATATAAAACTGCAAAAAATGTGGAACGCTTCACGATTTTGCGTGTCATCCTTGCGCAGGGGCCATGCTAATCTTCTCTGTATCGTTCCAATTTTAGTATATGTACTGCCGAAGCAAGTACAATGACAGACTCTTCCAATATTGCTTATATAGTAAGTAATACATTCACGTGTACTAACGAGAAACATACAAAATTACAGGTTTTCGCCATCTATCGGCACAATTTGGCACTGTGAGACATAACCTCGAAAACAAGTATGGGACATTAACGATTCTATAAATGCTGTAAATAAAACTCAAAACAAAAATCAGAGATTATTTAATGATCAATTAAACACAAAATAATTTTCGTGGTAAGACTCGATGGACCCGATGCGATGTTTTAGTGACGTTATCACAATTAAATCTCGGTGTGCTGTGTTCAAGAATATATTATTGAAATAAGTCAAATATATTTGAATCAGGAATGTGCATTTTACATTAAAATATAAATAATAATTTACATCTATATGTATATAGTGTAAATATATTTTGTGTCATCATAAACAATCTATGCCTGTTTTTTTTATCCTTGCACTAGACTGTAATCTCTGAAACTTCTATCTCTATTATATATTTTTATTTATCAGTACTAAAGTTAGACATATTAACAATCATGAAACATAATTACTTTTTTCTGTACTGTGTAATCCGATTTATAATAATTTATATATTGTACATTACTTGTACTGTCTATATAAAAAAATGTATAAACTTAACACTTAAACAATATGTAAAAATTCCATGTAAACGTAATCTTAAAATATATGGCATGATCCTGTTTCTAATGATTAGAGCAGAGTTTCCGTTTGCTTTAAATTAAATCATGTATTTTAATGTATTTGATTTTTGTACTTATAGATCCGTTGGGAATTATGCGTTTGAAAGGATGAAGGTATGGTGCATTTGTTGGAGGTTTCGTTGGATTTTTTGGTTTGTGTTGTTACGTTACTATGATACGACCCATGCTGAATCCTGAACCATACAGTATATATCTACCTTCAGACTATTAATAAACAATCAAATGTGCACAGTTAATTATCTGGATTAACTTTTTTTTCAGAAAGAATTCGAGAACGAGCCTTCTCAGATAGACCTTCATAACTTAAATTTGTAAAATTTGTTGAAAGTTCTTGTAAAATTATTCAACATGTTAATTACATGTTATGATGTTATGCAGTTTCTTTTTATATTCCTAAAAATTCTATAAAGGATAGGTAATATAGATATAAAGTTAAATAGATTGTTTGCTATACAAAATATATAATATAAATGTCTGTTCATATTTATTAAAACTGTATAATTATGGAAAGTACATAAGTCATAAAAAAAAGATTGTATTGTATGAAGACTCCATAGAACACTGATTTTTCCATGACTTATGTGCTTTCTACGTAAGTAATTAGCGATTCGATTACCTGTACAATTATATCACATACAAGAAATTTCATTCGTAAACCGACTAGAAATTTCGTTGCAAGTATATAGCCTTATATAACTATACGCACATGCATACGTAATAGGCCTCATATTAAAAATCGTCGTCATCACACACGTCGAGAAAGACATCGAATGCTTGTCGATTGCAATTACCTTCCGCGGTGAAGACGTATTTGTGAAACGTTCCGTCCATACATACAGCTGAAATTACAAAAAAAAAATAAAAATATAAAGAAAGAAACAGAGTGTATCAGCGACATTTTTCGCAAAATAAATACAGTACCTATCACAGAATTGTGTGTCCCAAATGCACAAACGCAAGCGCATTCTGGAGGTACTGTGAAGGTAGCTAATGCCCACTGACTCTCGACGTAATTGCCCAAGAACCCCATATTTGAAAAGCTGAGATAAATGAGATAACAACAAATGGAAAGTTGTTTGGCTACATTAAATAGAAAGGTAGCATTACAACTGATGTAAAGCCGCGATTAAATTAGAGATTAAGATTAATTTGGAATTTAATCAAAGCAAAGTTCACTAAACTTGAGATTGATTTTCTCTTTCTTCTGATTAATTAAATTTCAATTCAATCTCAATCTCTAGTCTGATAACGCTTAAAATTCTTTAATGTGATTTAAATGCAAATACCAATCATGTATCTAAATATTCCTCATGGATCTATGGAAATATATTAAATAATCATATTACAGTTTTAAAATAGTTATAAAGCTGTGTTTTCTACTGAACACAGCCTTTATTTAAAAAATGATATAATCTACATACGTGGATCGTCGATTCAAACTCGTATTTTTCAGAGCAAATATATGAACTGTTCCTTTATCGCTCGAAACACACAAGAATTCCGAATCTCTACTGAATGTTATGCTAAATGAAAAAAAATATTAAGAAACATTAAAAAACTGAAAAATTAATATTAATTGCACTATGGTAAAGTGCTATAACGTTAGATATTAATCTTGTATACTAACCAATAGAGAGTAGCAGGATCAGCACCGCGCCTTAATTCAACCAATAAACTCCTGCGTACAGAATCCCACACTCTAATTAAAGTTCCCTGAACAGATGCAGTCGCGATCATGGTCCCATTTCCATTAACTGCCAGACATGCCAGTGCACCCTATTGTTATTGCAACATATATGGATACGATAATAAATAAAATAATAAAACATATCTCATTTTATTAAAATACCAATTGGGATGTTGGATAGCTTAGTACTTCAGTAATTGTAATATAAATAAAAATTAAAAATAAATTCTAAAATAATTGAACCATGTAAATTTTTATAATGTTGAAAGAGGAAAATGCAAGTAGCAAGAAATACCTGATGTGCTGAAAGAGTAACAGGTGCACTGGAACTACCAGCTTCGGTAGCTCCAAGATCCACCAATTGTACACTACCAAGTTTATGCCCAGGAAAGGCTAGCAATTGCCTTTGCGCTGTCGCGAACGTCGCTATTTCTACCAAGCCTGTTGGATTGTCTCTAGTTTCAAGTGTTAACAACCTTCGGACAGGCGTAGGAAACGAAAAGACATGTATCTCTCGCTGCAGTGCCACTATCATTCTACAACATAAGAATATCTTTCTATAGAGGAGACATATAATATACAAGAATTTACAATGAGAGAACAAAAGAGGATTCCATACTTGTCCCTTCGCAATCTGATTGCTTTAATGATACTGGTAAAGGTGACTTCCATGACAAACTTCTTCAATAGATCGTCGTAAATCAGAACAGTGTTATCAGCAAATTTAGCACGATTCCCACCACCTACCACGGCAATCACATTTGTTCTCCAGAGCATCTCGGCCATGGAGATACTTCCCATTAAATCATTATCAAAATGCGCCTTCTCAACCAATGGGTCGACATTATAGATTCTCAGTCCAGATTCCATGCAACACGTAAAACAACCTAGGAAAGAGAGATTATCTTAATCCTTAGTATCATAAATATGATAATCAGAAAGAAATGATGATAAGAAGCTTTGGAAATGATTAGAGCAGGCCTGTCTAATTTGAGCTCCTGAGCCAAAACACAAAGCCATCGACGTAAAAAAGTTCAATGTAAGATTTTAGGAACTATAAAGTGTTGATAACCATTACTTAGATGCATATCAACACTTTACAGTTTGCGAAATCTTACCCACATTGAATTTTTTGCGTCGATAGCTTTGTGTTTTGGCTCCTGAGTTCAAATTGGACAGGCCTGGATTAGAGGAAAGTAAGAGTATATTTCTGTCTAATCAAGATAGGAATCACAATCAATTATACAAAAAAAGTTGGAAAAAAATATATATTTAAAAATAAATAATTTAAACTACAAGAACAGTATAAGAAAGATTATATTTAGGTGTCATATAGTCTTAAGAAGATAAAAAGATACACAAATCCCACCAACTGATGGGAGTAACTACAAAAAAAACTCAATGCCAAAGAAAAAAGAATGTATTTTGCGGATTAAACTACAAATTAAACTACAAATTAAAAAAAAATTTACCTTGATCCTGATTGAATCTCAGGCTATGAATGCCCCTC